AAGTTCCTCTTTGTTAGCAGGTTCTGTCTGGACAACACTGAGGACAGACTGAAGCAAGCTGTGTCATATATGGACACATCTACCCTCACAGAAACCCATGTATTAATTTCCTCCTTCCCACACTTCCAAAGACAGATATGAGAGTTTTAAGTTCATTTAACATAGACTTTAATTAGCCTAATGAAGCACTGCACATGTATTAAAGAGAGAAGGAAGCAATTATAATGGACTCACGAGCGTAAGGACCAATGATGACCTTGAACCAGTTATTCTATGAAGAACCTGCTTTGAAGATCCATAAAAGAGGCTCAGCCTTCAGAGGGAGACAGGGGAAAGTACATAAAAAGAGTGGATGAAATTAAATTTTAAACCTTATTTGCAGACTCTGGTGCATTTCAGATTTGTTCATGAGAAAGTATATGGATATCTTTACAGGTTAACTCCCCAGTCCAGCTTTTTGATAAAGACCTAGGAGTTTCAGGCCAGAGAATCTGGAAGTTGTGTTTGCTTTTTGAAATATTTTGTTTCCTCTTGGCAGCACATCAATACAACTTCGTAGAGTCAGATGGTAGATAGGAGGAATGATAAAAGCTGAAAAGCGATTTGCAGTTACTACGTTTGGTTGATCTTCTGGTTCAGTGTCAGCACAGAAACTTAAGACTGTGGGAATGCTTATTGAAATGAAGTTGTTTTGGTTATGCTTCAGTAGTTTTGTGAAAGGCTATACCAAAAAATCCAGAATTATCAAGTATATATACATGTTCCCAAGCTGCATGAAAATCCACTAAAACCATTTGGTTTCAATTTTCTATCTGCAAAGGATTTCTTTGTGAAATAAAAAGCTACAACACCCAATAATGAACAATCTTAATCTGCTTTAACTTCAGAAGCTTCCCTGAATTACACTTTTAAGTGCAAGATTGAGAAAAAAAAAAAAAAAAAAATCAACAGAAGGAATTTTAAAATATCACTGAAATCTTTTGTGGTTTAATGCAACTTAGATGTATTTGCTATAGAATAGGAAGAATTATTCCTACCCCCCAGTTCAGTCAGTTGCAGCACATCAGAGAAGTCCTTCAGGATGATCAACAAAAAAGTGTTCATCCAAGATTCTCAAGGAAAAATAGAATTCAAACAGTTGAACTTCCCTTAATCCAAGCTTTCAATACTCTAGTTAAGAGCCATGAAAATACTAGCAAGAGAGGAAGAGGGAATACCACTAGCTTAAATTCACACAGGAGTAACTAAATATCAAGATAATAAATCAGATGTTACTGACATGAATCACGGAAAAAATAAAAAAGGTACCTAAAACATCAGAAGTAACTGTCAGATGATGAACTACACTTTAGAAACAGAGGCAAAAGACATTTTCATTCCAAAGATGATTTCACATGGCTTTCATTAATTTCTGGAAGTCTTTAACAGTAAGCAGTAGAAAAATATTTTAAAGTCTTCAAATAGTGCCTATTACGTGTAAGATATGACCCAGCTCTTATTGCTAAGAAATCAACAACAGCATGAAGTTTCATACAACAGAAAAAAAAATTAAACCATAACTTTCAGCTAGAGCAGAAACATAGGTAAAGTAGTAGCATACCAGAAATTCTACGTGCAGTTAAAGCTCTGCTCCTTTACAAACTTACTGGTAGTTTGTAGTCAGCAGTACAAGGAAAAAAAATGCAGTGGTAGGCATGTATGTTTTATAGCTAAAATAAATCTCTTGTATTCCTATTTTATACTTTTCAAAGTCAAAACAATTTCTTGAGGTTCAGACTGTCATAGTGCTTCACATGCATTTCCTGATACAGGCTGACAGCAGAAGAATTTGAAGCAGCATTCTATAGAACCATCAAAGCTTCTTGGCTTCTTCAGTTCCCTTCACATCTCCCTTCAAGTCAAAAGAAGGCCTGAGTCTTTCCAAACCATACTACCTCAACTATTAGCAAGATATTACTATGCCAGTGTGTTTATCTATATCCAATTAGAAGGCTGCACATATTAGCTGGGATTAAAAACAATAGTTGCTTTCATTTCTGGCCTGATACAAAATCCTGAACAAAGGTTCCAGAATTACATGCACCTTCCAGTAAGGATCAAGTGACTCAAACACATTACTCTGTCTTAAATTCTGATAGGTATTTCTATTAATAGAAAAAGAAGTATGCTGCTCATCTGTCATCCAGTATTACAAAAGCCTTCATGCTCCACTATGGAAAAGTTATCTATAGGGAATTACGATTTTTGTCCAAGAACAAGTATGAGATTACAAGTCATTCTCTCTTACAGAGAAAAGGAAGAGTCTAGCTTGCATCTGTGACTCAGATTTCTAGATTTGCACCACTGCTGCAGAAATGGAGTGATTTCACAAATTACCTTTGCACACTAAGTCAAATTGGACTCAACTCTTAAAAAAGAAACAATCAATCAATTTCTAATTCAGCAAAACTCCAAAATCCAGCCAAGATGTGCTAATATTGGTGAACAGTAGGATACTTTGGGGAAAAAAAAAGAAAAATATTATTTCCAGTTTACTGTGCTCTTCAAATAACCTCAAAGTACATAATACTTAAAACATGACTTTCCTTCTCCTTCTTTCTGTAAACTCTCTCTGCTTTTATTTGGAGAACGATCAAGGAATTTCCTTAGAACACTTGCTTCCTATTAGTGTGCTCTGCTACAACTAAAAAGTTAGTTTTATTTAGAAGTAAAAAAAAAAAAAAAAAAAAAAAACCACCAAGATTTCAACTCCTGCAAAGTTGTGAACTAATTGGCATCTTACACTGGGCATTTTTTTATTTTTTGGGTGCAGCAGAGTTTTCTGTTTATCTATCAAAATGACAGTGATACAATCTATTGCTCATGAGTTCTTTATTACTCTGAGAACATGCATGTAAATACATTTTGGACAGGTGGACTGTTTGTCTCCCCCAGCATACATGTGAGATGACACAGCTAGCCCATTGTGTTTCTCTTGCGTTCCTGTCCTATTACCCAAATATACCCCAAAACTGGTTAAGAGTTAGTTCAACCCGATTGTTAGGATTTGGACAGTTAAGACTCATCTTGACAAGCACCAGACAAAGTCTGAATTCAGTGCTGACCCAGTTACGGGCAACATGGGTTGGATTACATGACCTCAAGAAGTTCTTTCCATCCTGGATTTAGTTAGCTTGCCTATAGCCTAGAGAAATCCTAACAGGAAATAATGACAGATACTGAGCAAGTTACTTATCTGTGCTGCTGGAACCACAGTGAGGTACATGTTTAATAATAAATTGTTCAAATTACTTAAACTAAAAGAAAGCATTATTCCCTACACTAAGCTTCAGCTACTCTAAAGGGGAATTATTTCATTCACAAGCTTGGCCACAGTAAATGTATGTACAGTTTTATCTCAAAAACTTTAAAAACAGATGTAGTAAACATATGTGGACAGGGCTTCACTTGAAAAGTATGGCCTGATAAAACAATGGGGCTTTTATAGTAAAACCAAGCAACTTCTACTTCTCCTTACTCTTATTTCCCCCCTCACCAGTGCTCCCATCATCTGATTCACAACAATACTGTGTTTATCAGGGAGCAAGGAAACACATTTAAGAATTTCCTTGGCAAGGGATAGAGCAAGTCAACCTGATGAAGTTTAATATATAAAATCCTACTTCGTAGCATAAGCAAAATAAAGGGTGAGATGTTCTATGGACTGTGGGCATTGGTAAGGGGATGGGATAAGGCATTAAAGAAAATTCTTCCCAGGAGTAGCATTGAAGCTCTTGTCTCATCTGATCATAATGCAATGTGTTGTGGTGCTGCTTTATGCTTTCATCTTAAGCAGCCAGTTACCAACATGAAAAATTCAGAAGGTGCTCTGACTTCTGCAGTTCTAACATACAATGAGTTATGGAGAGATAGCTAAAGAAATTTGTGGGGAAAAGGATTTTTATTCCAACAGCAAATTACTCTCCCTCCATTTAAAAAAATAAAACAGATGTACTTTCAGAAGTAAAAGTTGTAAAGCTGTATCTATAACCAGCCATGCTTTTCTTTTTTTTCCCCCTCCCATGTATTTCTAGTTACAGTTTCATAAAGCTAAATCAGAGAACAGAATAAACCCACTGTCTTTGAGAAACTCATCCCATAAAGAGCAATAGATACAGATTTTAATCACAGTTTACCACTTTTATATAATTAAGTGAAGTATTTTGGACTGCTGTATAACATTGGATTGGGTGTGTAAAAAAAAAAAAGACCAGTTTACTGGATGCCCTTGCGTAAGCACACTTTTCAAACTACGGTGTAGCCATGTTTTTGTAGTGTAGTCATTTATAGCCAGGCTGCCTTCATAATTAGCTATACTTCCATATTTAGTTTTTTTTAAAAAAAATACAATTTACAAGAGTATTTCCGAATCTCTACCAAACAACTACAGAACATAGTTTGCACACACCAGAACAGCAGCTTAAGTCTACTTTTGAGATCCTTTTTTTCCTGACAGTATAAGTCATTCTGAGTTTAATTAGCAGCTGAAGCAGCAGTCTCTAATTTTGTTTTATCCTTCCTAGAAACTGTAGAGCTATATCAAAATTAGATTGAGAAAATATGGTACATACTGAACTAAGGGCCCACTCCCTTTAGAGTACTACATAGATGCTTATTATAAGTGCTCTGTACTAGAGCTCTGCATTTTCTCCTTTTCAGTTACACATCTTTTGAATAATTTCAGTTTTACTTTCACAAAGGTCTTTTATATAACCGAACTACAAATAATATTTAGATACCATTTTCCCTCGTAACCACCTTCCTTACAAGATGAGATTTTAAGATGATTAGATAAAATCCACTTTTTTAAGTCCTATATTAACAATTCCAATTAATTCACATTTAGTATCAAAAATACAACTCTGTACCATCAAATAAGTTCTGTCTGAAAGTATATTAAATGCAGTATCTTAACTTAAAGAAACTTTATGTGGTAGCATCCCAACCAAAATTCATCTTACCAGAGCTTGACGATAGAACAGCTCCTCTCTGAGAAGGTGCTTTGATTGTGCAAGTATTTTTATTTTCACTTCCCCTCCTCAAGGGAAACACAGATGGCACCATTTTAACCTTGGACACTGATGCATTTCGTAGAGCGACTGGGCTTTTCTTTGGTGTATTTTTCTCTTGTGCATTCTCACCTTTCACAGAAGGCATCTGCTTTAAAACAGATGATAAAAAAGCAATAGATCATGACTGTGAGAAGCTGAGGAGTACCCTTCCTGACATCTGTACTGGAATACTGACCATACAGGTAAGTGACACATTTAGCTGTTTGCTATCACAGGGTCCACCAAAGATGCAGTCAGTCATACACCTGCAGTTCACAGCTTCAAGAACCCTCTTAAATCGCTTTCAGAAACACAAAACTAGAAGTTTAAAAACAGTCACTAATAATGACAGAGATTACTTTATGTCAGAGTTCCCACTTTCCTTGTCCCTCCACACTTTAATTGAACTGTTTAAATATGACTGTGCCCAAACAAGATTACTTTTTTTAATCTTTAAACCAAGCAGCTAGCTAAGTTAATGAACTAAGTTGTTGGTTGTCATGTCTACCCGAAATGTAACAGCCGCTGTCATAGGTTTCCCTGCACAGGTCTTAAATTATGGCAGAGAAACAAGTAAACTTTTCCACATTGAGGAATTTAAGAATGTACCTGAGACAGATTTAAAATAACCAATTCATAGGTAGCACTTTAGCTTTTACACAGAATTCTTGATCTAGTTCATATATGCACTTGTTCATGCTGAAAAACCATGCCTATGTAAACCTATGAGCATGGACAGACGTTCTTGCAGTTTTTCGTGACTCAATGTGATAAGCAATAATTTGGACATATTACACGCTTTCCACTTTTGATTACAATCCCCGTTTTCAGAAATTAATCTGCACCTTACAGAAGAAAATGTACAAAGTTCAATCTAGCTGATTACTGAGCACTTTAGATTATGTGCTCCATGGAGTTACTGAGTCTCAGCAGAATAATTAGTATTACAAAGGCTTCCATCTCTGAACTGGATGAATTGAAAGCACTCTCTTCAATCTGTGGTTCTGAAAGTAGTGGTTAATGTAGCATACAAACTTAAAAATACTTCAAAATTAGAAAAGAAAGTTCATGTTATTAATTTCTTCTGTAAAGCTTCAAAAATGGATAGCTGCTTCCATTCTACCCACAGTACATTCCTTATACTGAAATTTAGTAAAGCTTTTTTTTCCTATCGAAGCATTGAAGACCAACAAAAATTCAGTCAACTCCAGGTTTCATTAGTAAGTACGCTGCCACCATTTCACTGAGTAAACTAAGATTTTCCCCACTCAGCCCTGAAGCTTTTTCCTTCTTTCCCACCGTTCCTTTTCTGTGAAACCTCTTTCAGAGGTATGTGAAAGCAGCATGTTTCTCCTGACAGGTAGCTGACTAGTCCAACAATATTTTCTAATCCATCATGCATGCATGCATACCTTCCAGCCAGGAAGTTTGCACCTTCCAGTTAGCTTACTCTCCCAGAAAAAGGTCTTCTGCATAAAGCATAGTTCCTACTCTTAACTATTCTAATAAGTTCCATTTTTACTTCAAATAAAAGAACCCCCAAACTATTCAAAGCTGACAGTTAAATTAAAAAGTTAAAAATGTTTCACCAAATTGCTGGTCTGAGAATTTTGCATTACTTAAGGTACATTTAACATTTCTATGACAAAAAATTTAAAAAGTATGTTTTAGAACTAAATGATGTTTTGAAAGAAAAAAGTAAACTTATTCTGTTATTGAAAACAAAGTTTATCTTTAAGATAAAATACTCAAAATTACAGTATCACTAGAATTATACTGATAATGTGCACATTAAAGTTACATTTCTAAAAATCACAGAAACAAAGAATTGTAGTGGTTAGAAGGGACCTTTAGAGATCATCAAACCCAACCCCCATGCTGAAGCAGGTTCCCTACAGCAGACTGCAAAATCTTAACAAGTAGCAATATACAGTTTTGTTAGTTAGACTGCATTAAGATGCATGTGCTTTTATTAGAATAATAGAATCCTGACTGTACTGCACTAATAAAACTTCCCAAAAATTTTAAACCATGGAATAAGATAAAGGCTGACAACAATAAAAAGAACTTAAGGTCAAGCGCTAATTGCTTACTCTGAAGTTCAACCAGTTTGCAAATTTTTTTATTTTTCTCCCCTTTTAGTAGGAAGACTGTACCCCAGAAATCAATGTTACAACTACTTTTGTAGACACAAAACCCATTCCATAATTTCCATCCAAAACCCATTCCACTTTGCAATATAAAAGCCCCTTTTGTCAAGTGTACAAAACATTTAATTAATTCAAGGAAAAAAAAAGCTTACCACAGGAACTGAGTGCAGGACAAATGTTTCATTTGCCACATCTTCTAACAGCGGCGCTTCCAGAATTCCCATGTTGCAGTTTTGCTCTTTTTCACTTCTGTTTGGACAGATGTTTTGAGCACAGGGCTGCACTAAGGAGTCTGAAGTGTCCATTTCATCATTCAGCATCTCTTTTAAGTCTTCTCCACACGCTGGAAGCACAGCAAAAGCCAAGGAGCACACTGAATTGGTAGCACTCACTTCACCAGTGTCTTCCAGATTCTGCTTCAGCGCAGGTGTCTTTGAAGTCCTGTGGGAAACGGTTCTCGGATGTGTTGTGGCGTGTACAACTTGGCTAGCAAAGAGGTGTTTCTTAAGATGCAGCTTATGGGGCTTATTCACAGGCAGTTCCACTTTCATATCTTTAGCTAAATCTATTTTCTTTTTCAGCACTTTTACAGAAGGGGACAGTTGCCTTGGGGAAGCAACTAGTGAGGATGAGGAGGCGGTTGATTTTTTTGGTGACTGAGGAGACTGTTTTAAGGGTTCACTCTCTCTTGACTGCAGAACAGGCCTAGACATTACCTTTGGCTTCACATTTTTGAAATTAGGTTTGGGAAAACTAACAATCTCACATTTCCTTGATTTGGTTATTGATGACACAATAGGAGATCTGCCCACTGTTCTTCCTGCAATTTGACCTGAACTAGTTTTAAGTGAAGGCCTTCGGTTATGCTCTCCTACAAGCATCTCGTTTGGTCTTAGTTTAGAAGACTTGTCTCCAAGTTCTGCCACAGATGGAACAGGAAAAGTTGTGGGTTTTGTTCGCTCTTTAGGAGTTGAAGTAAATAGAGCAGTATCGCTTTCACCAGCCACAGGACTGAAGACCAAAAAAGTTGCTTCACATTTCAGTTCTGGTTTAACTGTTCTCTTTAGTTTTGGTACACTGCAAGGTAGCACTTCAGACACAAAAGGGGTGTTGTGCTTATACTGAAAAGCAGCATTTCCAGGGATGCTTTGTTCTTTGGTTAAGGGTTCACTCGTTTTCTTTGATACTTGTTCTCCAATGTTTTCTGCTGGTAGAAGGTACACATTATTTCCAGGACTATCCATACATGTCTGAGCAATGGAATTCCTGGTTTCATCACAGTCAGCAGTATTCTGCATGATTTTTACTTGCTGATCTTCATAAGTGAAGATGTATGGTGATAATTCAGCTTGTTCATGTAGATTAATACATCCAGCAGCTTGTTTTCCAGACTGTGCTGCTGTTTCCAACTGTACTCTGTCAATGTTAATAGTATTTTCTATATCGAGTTTAACACCTGCAGAGGCAGGATAATATACTTCAAAATCAGCAGAGGCCTCTATGCTTCCTGAAGCCACTACTGTAAAAGACAAATTTGGTGTTTTTTCTGCACCCAATTTCTCTTTCATATCTCCTTTATCAGAAGGGATGAGCATTTCCCCTAGATGCACATCATTTTGATCAGTTCCCACTGTTCCACTTACAATGCTAGTAACATCGAATGTGCTCTGGTGACAGTGTACCCTGTTTTCTATCATGGACTGTGTGCACTGCTCTGAAGCAGGATGCGGTAATACACAGTTTGATTCAGTCTGATTGTAAGGCATCAATTGTTCAGTACTCTGAGCTTGCATTTTTGTCACAGCCACATTACCTTTCGGGAAGCCTGTTGTTTCTTTCAAGTCACAATTCAAAGGATATACACTAGTCTGCTCAGTCAGAAAAGGCTTGCATTCAGTATCTTTATCTCCCAAGGGAATTCCTCCTCCTTGGCAGTCATATTTACCAGGCACCCTTGGCAGATGAAATGCTTCAATACACTGCTGTTTTAAAAGAACACTTCCAAAGTCACTCTTTTTTTCAAGAACAGCATCACCTTCATTCTCGGTCTCTATATTTTGGTCAGTTGAATCGCCACGTAATTTGGCAGTACAATTCTTTGAAGGAAGCGGAGCTTTGTCACATGTGTAGTCATTTCCATTTTCGTCCCTTATAAGTAAGGAAGACTTCAAGCCATTCTTTGCTTTGTCATCTGACCTTTCAATATTCATTTTGAAGGCTAAATTTTAAACAATTTTCATTTTACGCTCATTTAAAACCCCAGAGAATGCAGACTTCTGAATTTTCCAGAATAAACACCTTTTCCCTGGAACATGTCAGCTGTATGAGAGACATTTAAAAAGCAGTTTCTTGTTTTTGCGCTTTCCAAGAGGATTCAAAAGTTCTAGGATTAAAATGAAATGAAAAGTGATTAGCCAAACCAGGATTTTACAGCATTAAGCATTCTTAAGCAGTTGTTCATCACTTGAATTAAGTGAAGCCATTTTGACAAACTTTGACCACTCTTCCCAACTGAAGGGAAATAAGACAGGTGTTGAACATCTCTGCACACCTGTAGTGTTGTATTCCAGCTCTCCTATCAAAGAACAAGAAAGAGGACACTAGCACTGAAAACAATGGGAAACAGGTCAGGGTTTTAACTAAAATGCAAACCCAAGTGTGGTATTCTTAAATGAGGATATGGACATAGTGATATATTTGAAACTCAGTGAAAGGAAAACAGCAGAACATGAACATCAGAATTATGCATATAAGAGTGATGAAATAATGCACACTCATAAGAAATACATCAGAAGTCTGAAGTGACTTGATTGCAACTTAAATACAATGCAGAACCCTAATGAACTGAAACTTCAGGAAAACACAGATACCTAACTGTGCTACCAACATTCTTTATAGGGGTGACACAGAGAGTATATCAACCATTTTAGAAAACAAAGCAAGGGAAAGAAAAACACTTAGAGAAATACCCCTAAAAATGTAAAAATAAGGCCAGTGCAATAAATAACATCAAAAGGTAAGTTACTAAAAGCAAGAATTTATCATTCAAAAAGCTGGTATTTTCTCATAAACCCCATTTTCTTTAGCTGAAAACATACCATCTTAAAGTCTTTTTCAACTGAGCAAAAGCATAAAGCTTTCGAGACATGCTCTAGGGACCATGAACAGTTCTGAGCATAAAAGTAGCACTCTAAGTAAGACTGTTCTAGATTTACATGAGTTTGTATGCTCATGACAGACTAAATGCAGAGAGACTTCTAGAAAGAAAAGACCACAGCCTTTTCCTTACACATGACTTTCTACCTTCAATCTGAGACAGATGCTTAAAGACCATGGAACAAGGAAATGAGCCACCAAAATAAGGTAGTAACCTCCTCCCTGCTTTTCTCAATTCCAAAACAAAAATCACTGAGGATAGAAACCTGGACTAGACAGACCCTGCTTAAACTCTCCCAGTTCCTAATAGCTCCAGATGCCCACTGCCATTCAACCCCTACAGAAGCATGAGCAATAGCGGAACCCTCATTTCAATTCTCTACTATGAAACATGAGGTAGGTTCAAGAGTTCTTCCAAAGAAGTCTTCCCTTGAGGCTGGACAAGATCCCGTCCTGAATGATTTTCCATTTAGTTAAGTTGATCACAGAATGAACTGTTGAAAAATGTCTGCAAACTTTGCTTCCACTGTTGTTTCGATATATTAAAACTAGTTGCTACTTATTTGTACTCATAACACACCATACTGCTTGCCCAGCTAGACATGCAACAAGAAGTTGAGAGGTTCCATCCATTCTGATTTAGCATTTGCTCTGATGCAAAGACCATTGTCACCTCTTTCAAGCGCATTCACACAATAGAAAGCAGGGAACTCTAGTACGCCACTTCACAAAGCTGAGGTCTCAAGACCTTAAAGAATGATACCTTAGCTTTATATGGATTTCTGATTTGTCAAAATTTGTATCAGGAGTATTGAACTAAACTTTGATACAAGCAATGCTTAAGAAGTCCCAAGAAAAACAGAAGCAGGTTTGAGACTGAATAGAAAATCAAGAAATTGTTAAAGCCGAATATGTGCATGTGCACATGTACTAATAGAAATCTGCTCAGCCCAGGTTCCCACATAATGAGAACATTCACAAAAATATACCATTGATTCACCTATTTTTAAAGCAGCTTTTCACTTCAGTAATCAATACTTTCAACATCAGCTAGACTAGATTCAAGTTCTGCTTCATATCAACATTTGGAGTCTAAAAGTATCTTTTCATAAAAACAAGGAGACTTTCTAAGGCTTAGAAATAGTGTCTAACAAAAGCCGTAATATAAAGTTAGCTCTCAAAAATTAAGATTCTGTAGCTCTGTGCGCACTTAAATATGTTAACCAGGTCTATGAGCTTCCAGATGGTGAGAAATTCTTCTGATTTAAGAACTGATAAAGACAAAACAATTGCCTTTCCAAACATATATTGCTCCTGATGAACTTTAAGAGTTAGGGAATTCTCTAAACTAAATACTACTACCAAACTCTGAGTTTAGTTATCATATCTCTTAGGCTTTTCCTTTCCACAACAGATATACAAGACCTCAAGGGAACAGAAGCAATGCTTTGGAAAAAAAGGGAAGCCAGCTTGGAAAGCAGACTCTTCTAAAAAGACCACTGTCCATCTTTTGGTGGCCCCAGATCCAGAACACACTGCAACATACAAAGTAGGGTTCATAGCAAAGATCTTGCAGCTTCTATTCATCTACATGAAGTGTTGCTGGGCTGGGAAGGTTTGAATGTGTGCTATAGAAGTACAGGGGACAGACACCAAGTCTGCTAGTTCAGCGTTGGGTAAATAAGAGTCAAAACAATATGAATTAATATAAATAAATCAAGCTGCAAGATCCCAAATTGCTACAAGAATGCAAGCCAGTTCAAATGCATTACTCTTAGAAGGCTGACAGCAATAATGACGCTTTTCCTGGTGTTCCATTTGGAACTGTATGCTTTCGCCCACACAGTCACCATGTTTACTCAAACCCACCAGCTCTGTTTGCACAGCCTGTACCAAGGGACACAGGGGAGATCTGAAAGAAAAGGGTGTGCCCCTACAAGTGGGAAAGCAGCCTGGAAGTGCTCCAGGCAGCTCACTGTACTTGAATGCTATGCTCAAGGCATCTTCAGTATCCATACTTCAGCAGAAAGCTGTATTACACTGCCACAATTACCACTCAGAAGTTGGGAATTATTTTAAAATATGTTCTGGGAGAACTCTGCATTCAGAAGACTGGTCCAGTGACTTTTCTTAAAAGTAAAGCAAGTGCTCCTCCTACTTCACTAAGATACTTGCTAAGATATTTGAAAGAAGTGTCCAGAACTGGAACCTAGCGTTTGTGGATCTGGAAGTACAGCCACCTGACCATGAAGCTCTGTGTGTTCACATGCCTTTCCTCACACTGTTTTACAGCAGGAGGAAAGGTGAAACTCACAGGTGTAAGAGATAAGCACACTCAAGCTGGTGACAAATCCTAGCTATAAAAGCAGCGCAAGTAAGCAGATGTATTTTATGAGTTGTGATTAAGTGCATGATCAAACAAAACCAAAGCTGCGTCTTTGAATGGGCAGATCAGAATACCAACAAGCCTCTTGCTTGAATATTCTGGTAGTTTCCATTGCTAGGACTCAATCAGGCACTCATTCTTAGCTCCGCTAAGACAACATTCACAGCTAGATGCAGAATGGAGCTTTCTGGGGGGGGGGGGTGCAGTACACAACTGCAATGTGCTCAGAATTATCACTGGCTTGGCTTTTGGGCTATTGCTACCATAAACAAAGCCACTGCCCAGTTTTCCACGAGATCAATATTCAGTCTGCCCCTCTTTAAGAATTTCCAAGAATTATGAAGTTTTTACTGCCTGGTTAAATTAGGTCTTCAACTTTTCAATGAAAAGTGAAGTTTCCTGGGTTTTCAAGGAAGTGGTTTGTTTGTTTATTTGTTGTTTTTAAGTCAGCTCCCGTACAATCAAGGATAAAATTTCAGGTCAAAATAAAAGCAGGAAGCTAGAACTTAAGACAATATGCATTTATTATTATGGCACTCCCTTAGCAGATCAAGGTCCAAGTCCTACTTGTTGACAGATCTGATTGAACAGCTGAGCACAGATTGGACTGATGTTCACCAACCCCAACTCAGTGTTCCAACTTATTTGACTACATGTGGTTACATATACTGCTCATTAAGTCTAACACCTGCATCTTGGATAAACTGCTGATTTCTCCAGTGCTGTCACTTAAACTCTATACAGAAGCAGGTACAGGGCACCAGTATAGAACAGCTACTACACCTGGGATTCTCCACAAATTCAGGAGCAGGGGAGAGAATGAGGGGTGCTGCTCTGCGCTTCTTTAAAATATATATATATTTTGTGTGCATATACACACACACACATATATATACAGAAAATATAATCCATTAGTCTATAGATTTCTGATTAAGCAGACTTTTTGTCTACTGCTAGTTTCCTCTTGGCTGAGAAGGACATGGCAGAAGCTCTCTGCAAGGGCAAGAACACCAGGCTGCAAAGGTGGTGACTGAAATACCAGGCATAACTCTGGAGAAAAGAAAATAATTCTTGCCTCCTAACAATGAGTCATGACTGACATGCTCAGCAAGTCAGAGCAGAGACGGCTTTAACCATTACCACTGAAATAACTCCTACACTAAACATTCGCCTGTTAAAATTAAGTTCTAATGCCAAATACACCACAATACACTAGGCACCATACACTGAAACTACATTAGGGTACAATGCTGACTTGAAATTTTTCATGCTCCTGAATTATTTTACATAGCATCTCTGCCTGTGCCCCTGGGTTTGGTGTAAACACTGCCCAACATTTAATGGACACCACCAGCATTCTGGCAAGTAGTAAGATTGTGTCATTAGAATGTGACAGCTGAGGCCACAGCAAACCCGATGAGCTCCTGTTCTTGTGTCCTTTCAGATCTTCACCTACAGCTGGGAGCCAGTTCAGCAGCTGGCTATATTTAACAACGATACACAGTGTGAACTAGTTTACTGAGCATTTGGAACACTTCCAACATAATCTGTAGTGAAGTAAGATACAGTAAACACGAAATTATTATTTAGCTTTAGAGGATTATTCTGTGTAACAAATCTATAACCCAATTAATTATCTGAATAAAGCTGATCAATACATTCCCTAATAACTGAAATAGCAGCATCCTTGTCACGGTATCCTTTTGCAGTGCAGATTATTCATCAAGATGCTTAGGATTTCCCAAGTTAGCCAGGTCAGAAGTTTAATCAGCTCCCAGTTTTTGCAGACACAAAGATGCCTGCTGTGCACAAGTGGGCACTCATTCAGAGAAGACTACAGC